TGTACAGCTTGGTCTAGTATCAGTAGCTCCTTACTTGCTAGGACCTGGATTGTGCACTACTCTTATTATATTCGCCTGACTTGCCTTGTGGCTTTTGCTCCAGTGGCCGAACTAGTAGTGCCGCCTAGTTTGCTCTTGTCTTGTTTGTACTCTTCTGACTGGTCTTCAGACCCTTGCCTCAGAGGTTGGAGTAGTAGTGCCACCCTGAGCTGCGTGTCTCTTGCCAGGCACCACCCCTTGTCTAGCCTAGGGGGTGTGTCAACGTATAGTTGTATATGTTATAGGCTAGATAGGTGCATGCTCATAGAGGGTACAACACCATAGCACAAAACCTCCCTGTATGGCTCAATCTAGTTAATTGCGTTATTCTAACACTCTTCCTACCTAGCTAGCATTGACATGGTATCAGAGCAGGAGGTCCACCCTGCTGGACCGCCTCCTCACGCTTCCGCCGCGTACTCCCCCCCTCTCTTTACTTCTGCGCCGCCGTGGCGGCCGTGTCATGCTGCCATGGCGGCTTTGTCGTGCTGGCGTGGCAGCCTCGACGTGGCGGCTTCATCGTGTCGTCGTGCCGCCGTCGTCGTGTCAGTGCATGGGCGGCAGTGGGCCGCGCACTGGTTTAGGCACCAGGCAGCGAGCCCGCACTCCAGCTCGTCGCGCCTCCCCAGCTCGTTGTGTCGGCCCAGCTCGCCGCGTCGGACCCAGCTCGCAGCGTCAGTCCCAACTCGCCACGCCAGCTGGCTCCGCCCCGCCGCAGCTCAAGGATGCCTAGTGCCTTCCTTCCTTGCAGTCACCTCTGCTGCAGGGTATGGGGGTGCTAGGCTTAGAGGTGTTGCATGTGGGGTGGGCTTGTGACTACCAAGCCTAGGCGGTGTGTTAAATTATATATTTGATAAACATAATGGTAGGCTTGGTAGGTGTTACTAGATCCTACTGTAGAGGGTACAACCCCCCTTCTTGTATCCCTCTCTCTTCTATTCAACCTTACCTCTTCTCTCTTGACATTTCCTAGCACCTAAAACCTCTCGCCATTCATGGCGTCTCTTCCTACCTAGCTAGCATTGACAGTAGCATCATAGTTGGAGGCTGCTAGTATTTTTTTGCTATTCCCAGAAAAGATGCTGCTGCAGTAGATGCTGTCACAAGTGCAGCAATTGTTTTTGTATCTTTCTAATGCAGTTGATTTGGAATTGGTAGTACAGGGGAGCTTACGCTAGGTTTTGTTTGAAATGTCAGACCATGCCAAAAGTTTCGTCTGAAACGGCAGACCGGCCGAAAATTTTCGTATTATGATCAGACCAAACTTTGAAACCCCGTCTGAACATCAGACGGGCCAAAATCCCAGCTTCTTTCCCTGGTCAGTAGCCGTAGTCAAGCAAAGTGGATGGGCCTGGCTTCGTTCTCATCCCAGTCCATCTCCTCTACTGTCGACGGTCGGCCTTCCTCTGCCTCTCCCGAAATCGCCTTCACTGGCACTTCCAGCTGTGGTGGCTTCTGCTCACAAGGGAGATCGCGAGGGGAGGAGCCGCAAGGGAGAATGTGACACATGAGGAAAAGAGAGGTGCTAAGCCTCATATGCCACTGCTGAGAACGCCTTCACAGGTTACGGGAAATTCTGTTCACACAAGAGAGAGCAGCTCAATGGACGGTGCCCTCGAAGCACAATGGCATTGTGAGAGATGGTGACATCGTGAGGAGCATGTAGAGTAAGGAGGGACAGCAATTGACCATGTCACGAATGAGAGGCCACTCGATGGTCTTGAAGAAGGGGTGCGCTCGGATCTCAATCGCTCCGTGCTTCGCGCCCAGGCGAGCCGCAGGGTCCCTCTAGAGTAGCTGGCGCATCAAGCCCTTGGCCTCATCAGACACCTGTTGTTGGGGGAAGGGGAGGGGGATGGTATGACCGACAGTGGAGGAAGGGGGGAGGGAAAGAGGGAAAAGGGTTGATGAGCCGCCGGAAAAGCTGGCGCCTGAGATCCTTGGCCTCGTCAGACACTTGCTGCTGAGGGAATGGGGGGCGGATGACGTAACAGACAGTGGGGGTAGGGGGGAGGGTACATGAAATCTTCCCAACAACGCTCTGTAACAGCTTGGAACTGTTATTATTTTTATGGTGAAATTCTGGCTGTTGTGAGAGTTTCATCGGCTTCTCTTGACCTTCAGTAGAGCAACAGCATAGAGAATTGACTAGCATCAGTGTTCTAGAAAACTAAGTGCTTTGTTGTATGCATCATGTACTTGATTGATTGAGGCACATGTAGTTTCCAAATGGGAGCACATGCAGTGCAATACCAGCCTTTCATCAAATTGCAACTTTGATGCCCACATCCGAGACCTTGAGAAATCACTCATATCCAACTTCCAGCAATGTGACTGTAGCCAGCGGCAGCTCATATTATGTGCTGTTAATGACGATAAAATCTGGATTGTGACACGACTTTCAGAGGAGTGTGCAGTGCAGTCGTCATAGCATTTCATATCTCAATGAGACAGCACACTCATAGTAAGAAGTACATGGATGTTCTAAAGGACGAAGCTAAACATGCAGATGCCGACTAGGAAAGTGGGAGAGGGGGGTGGGAGTAATCAGAGAAGAGAAATGAGAATGAGACTAGGTGGCAGGTCCATCAGACCTGCGAGAATGTGAAGGAGCTTGTCTCCTTTACAGCAAAACTCCTCTTCAAATCAAATCACAATCTGTTAATTTTGTATGCCTAAAAAAATATTCATATTGTGACACGACTTTCAGAGGAGTGTGCAGTGCAGTCGTCATAGGTCAAACGAAACATCAGGGAGGGGGTTGACGGCGGTGACGCTCAAGCATGGCTGCATATCGAGCAGTTGGACTTGAGCGGAGAGGGTCCTGAAGGGTCCGTGAGGCAGCAATAAGCTCGCGATCGAGCTGGGTGACATAACGCTCCTTGGCCGTGTCGCTGCGCCAATGGCCGAGGGCCTTAAAGAGCCGATCAGGAACACCAACATCAACGGCCGTGGTGGTGGCGGACTTGCGAAACGAGTGTGTGCCAAGGACATCAGGATTGAGTCCGGCCCGAGAGAAGGAATCCCGGCACCAACTCCGAATGGTGGCATACGAAAGGGAGCGATCGGAAGGGGAAGCTCGAGAGCCTGGCTGAAACACACGGATGAGGGGGCCGAGAGACTGGGCGGAGTACCCAGCGAGGAATAGGAATTGCTGGACACGAGAGACGGGGCAGTGGCGAGTGGAGGAGGCAGCCATAGGAATCCATGCACCAGCACCCGCCTGATCGGTCTTGGAGCGGGGAATGAACAACCACATACAGTCCCGGTCAAACTCAATCTGGTGCCCCTGGAGGGATATCAGATCAGAGAAGCGCAGAAATGCTGCAAACATGAGGAGAGGGATCAGCCCCTTCTGGAAGGTCGTAGGATCGGACGACGTGAAGTAGACGTTGCAGATATCGTAGATTTTTTCGGGTGGTATCGGCTCCTTGGCCCGAGCGGGCCTGCCGCAGTGGCGTTGCGCGTACTCCTTAACTTGGGAAGATAACGGGCCGCGAATAGGAGAAGGAAGGCCGACCAGCCAATGGGCATATGAGATGGCAGAACATGCGGATCGCACTGCTGAAACAGTGGCGCCACCGCGGATCGAGTGCAACAGGAACAGTGCTGTCGTAAGGTCGCTGGCAGGAAGAAAAGGAAGCGAGTGCACGGTACAAAAGGCCCGATACTGTCGCCAGCAGGGCTCGTATGTTTGAAGAGTAGACTGTGCACGAAGATCGACTTTGAGCGTCAAGAGATCCAAAAGTAAGCAGCCGAGGTAGGAATCTGCGCAGAGGCACAGCGCTATGTATTAGTGAATAGCAAGCGAAGCGCGTACATCAATGAGTTCAGGAGACCTGCACCGCTAAAGGCATAATGGTCACTACCAATGCGCAAACAACTAGAGCCAAGAGCAAGGCGAATGGTTGCGACCACAGCAGGTGCCCAAGAGGAGCCGCCCGGGCATAACAGTGGCCACCAAAAGGCGCTAGGCCAATGCGGGATTACAAAGGTGAGCGAGGTGCGTGAGCGGCGGGCGTGAGCGAGGACAGCGGAGATCAGGGATGGGGGAGGAAAGGTGTAGCAGTTGTCGCCCGACCAGCTAAGAGAAAAAGCATCCTGCGCGACTACCGCGTTAGAGAGCTCGAGTGAGCAAAAACGAGCCAGCTGCGCATTAGCCGGGGAAGCGAACAAATCAATAGTATGAGGACCCCAACGCCTCTCTAGCAGAAGGAACCAAGGTCGTGCTAGAGAGTAATCGTCGAGAAGATCCAACTTGGAGAGCGCGTCGACTTCTGTATTAAGGGTGCGCGGGATCCACTGGACTGTGAGCCGAATTTGGTGGCGCACGCAAAGGTGGATAATAGCTCGGCATGTCAGAGTCAACTCAAGCCTGCGGGAGCCCCCTTTCTTCATAATGTAATAGGCTGCTTGGCTGTCGTTGCGGAGCAGGACGTGCAAGCATCGAACCTTGTCAAGAAAGGTTGACAGTGCCCAAAGGATGCCAGCAAGTTCGCGGAGCGTGCTGGATGAAGAGACGAGGGCCCGGGGGAGTGGTGAAGCATGCGAACCGGCGTCGCCGTCCGGCGCTGAAAAACACGCACCCCATGTGCGATCACTGGCATCCACATACATCACGACGTCGTAGAGATGAGGATTGTGGAAGCACGAGCCATTCAAGACATCGAACTGGGTGAGCCAGAAACGCAACTCATCAAGAGAATTGGGTGTCAAGAGAATTGACGCCCCCCAAGAGTGGCACTCAGAGATCTGAGAAAGAGAAGGCACGCGCGACCGTGCCAAGCGCGAGCGCCATGGAGGCTAGCAAGCCAGTGATGCGAGCGGCCCGACAGACTGGGATAGGCCGCCCTTGCGCGCTAAGTGCACATGTCTGCTCAAGTTCGGCGAAGAGTCGCTCGTGTCTGCCGTCATCGACGGAGAAAGACGTGGTGCGAGTGTCCAGCAGGAGGCCCAAAAACTTTAGGCAGTGGGTTGGTTCGAGCTGCGACTTCCTGAAGTTGACAGCAAAGCCAGCTGACTGAAGATCCGCTAAAATGACGGCACAGTGGCTAAGGGCCTCGGCTCGAGTAGCATTGATGAACAAAATGTCATCGACGTATGGGATAAGTCGGATGCTGCGTCCGCGCCAACGTTTTGCGAGCTGCTTGATCAGCTGAGTAAAAACGAACGGCGCAGTAGCTAGACCAAAAGGCAATGAGAGAAACTGGAAGCGCTGCCCTTGGAGTGTAAAACCAAGGAAACGCCAATACGAGGGATGGATATCCACATGGTGGTAGCCTGATTTTAGATCGATGGTGGATAGCCAATCGTCTTGCTGCACCAATTCGGGCACTCGATTCAAGCCCTCGTAGCGAAAAGGGGGGACGGAAAGAAATGAATTCACGTGGCGGAGGTCAAATATGAGCCTCTTTTTGGAAGGTTGGATGACTACGTTAAGCGGGCTGATGCATGTGAGTGGCTCCGATGGAGGAACGAGCCGGGCCGCTCCCGTAGCGAGAAGCTCGTCCACCGCCTCCACAGCGAATGTGTGGAATTGGAGTGCCCCGGCATGGTTTGAGGCATGCCGCACTGTAGGCTCTGAAGAAGCCCAGGGGAGGCGATAGCCTGATGCGTGGACTGATAGCATGAAGCGGCTATCGCACCAACCGGACCACCATGCAAAGCAGGCATGCAGGCGTCCTCGCATACGGATTGTATCATCCGATGTGGCAACAGGTACGGCGAAGGAGCCAAGCTCTGGTGAGGGGTGGTGACGAACAAGAACACTAAAAAAACCGCAAAGGCCAGATGTAAGTTATCGTTCTTGACTGTACAAATACGTTTGCCGAAGCATTCGTAGCGTGAGAAGTGTGCTCGAAATAGTCGAAGCGTAAGCAAGAATGAAGGCAACACTTTTCGCAGTGTGCGCACCAGCAATGTTACAATCTTTGTCATGCTTTCATCGGTCGGAGGTGCGTGTTCCAATGTTCCACGTGCGTTTTGTACCTTTTGGAATGCCTTTCTTTTCCGGCACTTCTGCCGTTCTCATGCTTCCCCCTACCCCTTTTTTTGGGATTGTTGGTGCTGTTGTTGTTGTTGTTGTTGTTGTTTTTTTTTTTTTTTTTTTTTTTTTTTTTGCACGCAAATATTGAATAGCATATTGCCGTGCTTTATTCGAAGCAGATTTGAGCCGCATGCTCGATCACCAATTGGCACAAAATCAATCTTTAACATGAAATAATAGATTTATAGCATCAAGGTTTTACAAAGAATCGGCCATCAAAGCCTCTACACAATCTTAGGCGGCCGGTTGGCCCCTTGGCCTCGGCGAGGACAATATTTAAACCCATGACCGGGTTCGCGACAATAAAAGCATCGACCGTCGCCATCCCGACGCCACGTATTCCAAGTACGTGCGTCTTCACCCCTACTACTTGGGGGGGGGGTCGGTGCGGGATGTCGAGGTGGTGGGTCAAGTAGGTCTCTTTTTGCTGGGCGCCACAATTTGTGTGGCGGCCTTAACGTTTTTATCTTCCCCCATATTTAATCTTTAGGGCCATATTGGCCACTTCAAAACCGCGTTGATCTGTGGTGAATAAGAAATGAATCTTTTCCTCCGCCTCCTCGACTATCTACTGGAGATAGTCGGCGGCTAACTCGCCACCACTAGGGGGCAAAGCGGAGAGCGCGTGCCGAGCAATAGCCTGGATACGCTCGAAGCTAAAAATTTGGGTTCGAATGCCGTCACTTTTTACCAAAGAAGAATGCAACTGAGGACGTGCATGAGGGATAGGAGCAAGATTCGGGACGGTAGAACCAAACTTGAGACGAGCGACGTTACCTTCGTCGAGGGTTTCCATGGGCGCGTCGTCGTCCGCGCCATCGCCCTCGGGTTCGGCCGCGACGGGAGGAGGGTGGGAGCGTGGCACTGCTGCTGCCGCAGGTCGAGCAGGTGCAGGGGGTGGTGCTGGATCACCGGTTTTTCCGCGCTGAAGGGCCGCGAGAAGACCGATGACGTGATGAATTGCGTCATTATTAGCGTTGTCGTTGTTGTTGTAATGAGCAGGAATTTGTTCTGCAGATCGGGCGCTGTAGAAGCAGAGGAGCGCGCTGTAACGTGTTCACCAATTGCAGCACCCGTGAAGATTCGATGGAAATTTCGCTGGGTGGCGGGGTCCAGACGCGCCATCATTTCGGCGAAATTTGCAACTCCATTGGCGATGATGACAAGATCCTGCTGTGCGCGCTGATTCGTCGAGCGAGATTCCAAATCGGCGTGGACGTCTAGATTCTGGTGATCGCCACGATCCTGGCGCTCCTGGCGATTTGCGCACTGGTCAAGGTTCTGACGACCCAGTTCCTGACGCGTCTGGTCACGCTCAGGATTCTGCTCATCATTTTGACCTGCGCGCCCAGGATCGCGATGATCATTGCGATCCTCGCGTGCAGGACCGTCATGATTGCGGCCGAGGGGTGCCGCGCGCAACTGTTCCACGAGTGTCGGGGCGTTTTCTCCTGCCGGGTTCAAGTCGACACGTTCACGTTCTTCACGACGCTCGCCGCGAAACCCGGGGGGAAAATCGCGACCATTAGAAGTGTTACGATCTCCGATGGGAGCCAATCCGGGTTGCTGAACGGGGTTTTGCCGAGTGCGATTCAGCAAATCCAATGCAGTAACAGATGCGTTTCTGTTGCGTGGAGAGCGGGAACGATCATGGTGAGTGGAAGAAGCTTGACTTCCCTCACGCACAGGGGATCCACGTCGTCCATTGCTCCAGAGATTCATTCTTGAAACAGGAGGACGACCATTTGCAGCAGAAACAATTCCTCCAGTCGTGGTAGAAAAACGTGCGGCAAACACGTCCGCAAGTAGCGTGCTCCTATGCCCAAGTCTGGGCATAGGAGGGGTTTAGAGTGTGCTGGTGGTTGTAAGCAATCAGAGAAGAGAAATGAGAATGAGACTAGCATCAGTGTTCTAGAAAACTAAGTGCTTTGTTGTATGCATCATGTACTTGATTGATTGAGGCACATGTAGTTTCCAAATGGGAGCACATGCAGTGCAATACCAGCCTTTCATCAAATTGCAACTTTGATGCCCACATCCCAGACCTTGAGAAATCACTCATATCCAACTTCCAGCAATGTGACTGTAGCCAGCGGCAGCTCATATTCTGTGCTGTTAATGACGATAAAATCTGGATCGTTGCGGTTGTGATGCACACTTACATTTTCAGTCGCAAGAACTAGAAAGATGATGAGGGTGTGCGTACCATTAGTGCCTTCTGACACCTGCAATGGCATGCTTAGAGATTTGCTGAACCAATCCCCAAAGGGTCTGCTCTTGCGACGATTTGGGTCCATGCCATTTGTCATGATGGATTTGATGTTCTTGGTCGGGGTCCCGTGAAACACTAGCTCTGCTTTTCCCGTCGAACCTGGACGAAAACCCTGAAAGATTTTCCCTGCAACATTTGTGTAATCACCCACACAAGCAAGGGACATCAAATGTATGACAAAGGCAATAACACCCATCCGTGAGAAACCCCAAAACTTTATTGTTTGGGTAAATTCAGTGCTTGAAGAGGATACTTACCTCTGGCACGACACTTACCAAGGACATGCCCAGCATCACGCAGGGAGAGGTTTGCAAGTGTGCAGGCGAACCGGTGGACAAGGGATGCTTCCTTGGTGAAGGTATGCCTTGATTTTACAGACTCGAGGTAATGAGTTCGTTCGACAGTGCCTTTGATTGCTCCTTCAATGTAAGCTTCTGAAAGGCTGGTCAGGACTTTCATCCAGATCTGCTCACATAGTTCGTTAGTAAGGACATCGCTTCGGATAAATGGCGAAGCCTCAGTCAACTACTTACGAGAACTCCCATAGAAGTGGTGAGCTGCTTCACGTTTTCAACGCCAAACTGCGGAACCATTTGAATGTGTAATCGTTGTCCACTTGATGTGACCTCCTCCATGGTTCTTAGAACAATTGTGGGTTGGGGAAGAGCCACGGATTGCTCACCATTAGCAGCTGCCTTGAGAATCTTGTGGCACGTCACGGAATCAAAGGGCTCGGAAACTCCATTCACCCAGCGATAGATTCCAGGTAGCATTGTGTCACAAAAATTCCCCACAGTACACAAATTCGACAGCCAAACTCTAGACGAAACGGGGATAAAAAACTCGGATACTGCATTGAAGGCTGGACGCAAGATTGCCGAGACGCCATGTCGATAGGAAATTAATCTCGTGGAGGTGCCGTAAGACAGCCAGTGAAGCAGAATCCCGACGTCATTGCTCTGACCAATGTTGGAGGGGATGAAGCTCGGTACCACAAACCGAGGGCGCGTTCTTTAGTGCAGCTGGTTCAAGTTGAGATGCGGCATGATACTTCATAAGTACCTCATCAAAGAGTAGTTTCAGTACAAAAACTACTTCAAACAATAACTGGAATCTAATGTATACATTAACACACATATTTCATGTTCCAACAAAATACAAAGGTACCCCCTAAGCTAACACATGCTACCACACAAACTGATTAGAACATTCATGCACACATAATTAAAACATACGAACTGTTTTTTTTTCCTAATTATTCTTCTCCATGGTAGCAGAGACTTGGTCAGTAGCCGTAGTCCAGCGAAGTGGATGGCCTGGCTTCATTCTCATCCCAGTCCATCTCCTCCTCTGCTGTCGAAGGCCGACCCTCCTCTGCCTCTCCTGAAATAGCCTTCACCGGCACTTCCAACTGCGGGGGCTTCTGCTCACAAGAGAGGCAGTCACAAGAGAGGAAGATCGAAGTGACAGGCCGGAGTGGACTAAGAATCTTGTACTGCTTATTGGCCGTGGCACAGGAGAAGGCATGCTAGAGCATCACGAGTCCAACATCACAGCTCTCACACTCAGCAACCAAAGCCAGATCACACAACACAAGCAGACAGCAGCCAATGGCCTTGAGGCCAATATCTCACATTCACAAATTGCGAATTGCGACAGCCACCAATGGACTTCAGGTGAGAGGCGCACATTCGCGAATTGCGAATTCGCAAATGTTGAGAGGTGCTACCCATTGCGCTTCAACTGACCATGTCGCGAATGAGAGGCCACTCGATGGTCTTGAAGAAGGGGTGTGCTCGGATCTCAATCGCGCCGTGCTTCGCGCCCAAGCGGGTCGCCGGGTCCCTCTGCAGCAGCTGGCGCATCAAGTCCTTGGCCTCATCAGACACCTGCCAATGAGGAGAATGGGGAGGAAAGCAACCGGAGGGTTAGGGGAAAGAGGGGGGGGAGAGGGGGTTGATTGGCTGCTGGTTCCCTCTGGAGCAGCTGGCGCATCAAGTCCTTGGCCTCGTCAGACACCTGGAGAGGAGTGGAGGGGGCAGGGAGGGGGCGAGGGAGGGGGCGAGGGAGGAGTGGGATTGCTTAAGGGGGAACAAGGGGGTTGGCAGGGAAAGCCAGGTCCTTGGTGAGCACGTTGGTGAAGGTGCGCTGGCGGTTGTCAGTGAATTATTTTAGAGGGTATTTGAACTCACCGGAGGGTTGGCAGGGAAGGCAAGGTCCTTGGTGAGCACGTTGGTGAAGGTGAGCTGGTGGTTGCGACCACGGAAGGGGCTGCGGCCGTACAGCAGCTCGTACAAGAAGATTCCTGGAAGGAAGAGAGGGAGGCGATCAGGGGAGTGTGTAAGATTGCAATGTAATTCTCCTCGGTGCCCACCAAGGTACCAAGGAGACCATTG